AGCAGCTCAGTATCTCTTGAGAATGACACTCTAATGCATTGCAGGGCACCTTTTGCAGAGAGGAGGAGGTGTGGAATGCTATTTTCCTTATTAGAGGTGATTTTCATAACATGGAATAAAATGATTTTTCTTGCTGCTGTGATCTACTAGGTTGAGGAAACATTCTTGTCTTGAATATTGCAAAAAAAGGCTAATTAATATTTTCCTTACAATTCCTTCCTTTGGTCTTTTCTATGCAATGGTGTTCCTTTTATTAGGGGAATATCTCCTTCCAGTCCCCATTAGGGAACACTAACATTTTTCTCTTGATTCAGCTATGTCAGCTGGTGCAGATGGAGCAGAAGCTTATTAAATCTCACCCTAAAAATGATCAAGATGACATTAGATACTTAGAATGTTAGATTGTGGGGCATTTGCATAAAATTGTGCTTTTTATGTTAAAACCCCTTCAGGCTTAGAAGAATGGTGCTGCTCAGCAGTGTTTTTTAAATAATGTCCCTGTTCGTGGTACTCATTTGGAATCTTTTTAAAATTGTATAATCCTGACATGCATTGTGTGTGTGGAAAACATGGGCTCTAAAACCAGTGTCCCTCGGTCTCTTCTGGGGTGTTGGTTCAGGTTGGTTGGCAGATCCTTACTGAGTGGGGGTGAAGAGTCCTGGATGGATGTGAAAGGGAAGGATTTGTGTAATAATACCTAAAATTGAACATTTAAGTGTATGTTTTAAAAAGTGCACTTCTATGTGGAACTATTAAAAGAATCAGTAGTTCTTGGAAGTGTTTTGCTGTTTGTTTTTTTTTTTTTTAATATCAAATGATTTGTCATTGGGCAGAGTGTAGGATGGAGATTCCAGTCTTGCTGGAGGATCCACAATGTGCTTGTCTTTCACCTTCCAGCCTCTTTTGGTTGGTGTTCATAGAAAGGAATTGACTTAAAAAGTCAATTTTGAATGAAAAAATGTAGGGTGGGACATGATAAACAGTTGTGGCCTTTACCTTGTTTTCCTATGACAGTAGTTGGTGACATTGGCAGTAGGATGATGGTTGGATCGGATGATCTTGAAGATCTTTTCCAACCTTAATGATTATATGATTCTATATAATACAAACAGTGGCTTTTGCTGTCCATGTGAGGGTATTTTGGTGTGATGCACAGAGGCAAGATTACTGACTTTTGGGGCTAATGAGCAAAGTGAAGCCATCTCCTCCTGCCTGGCACTGGTAGCTGGGTGTGCCTTCACCTGGGAGCAGGCTGCTGGAGCATCAGCAAAGTGCCCTCCCCTTATGAATCACAGCCCAGCCATGGCCACATTTTGTGATCGAGGAGCAAAAGCCTCTCTCTAGAGACCACCTGGAGGTAGCTCTTGGCCACGCTTGTGAAGCCATCAAAATGAGTCAGGTTACTCCAAGAACTTGACATTATTAAGCGAGGTGGGAAAAGGAGCCTTTATGATTTTGGTGGTAGTAGGGAGAAGCACAACAGAATATTTGAAGTGTTTTGGTTTAAGGGTTGTGTTGGTTGCCCTATTATAAGATCATAAATATGATGGGTAGACAAGCACACTGTTACTGCTGTCCTTCCATGACTCCATGAAGTAAACAAGCTCAGACTGCATGCCTCCTCACTGATGAAAAACACAAGCCCTGTTGACCTGGAAACCCCTGATACTGCGACTGAATCCTCTGCCAGGTTCAGTCTGCAGCTCTTTTTGGATTCTGAGCTTGAGAGCAGGGTGGTAACAGCCGAGGAGATGTTTCAGAGATGACCTGAACTGATTCACCAGCTGCATGCTGTTGCAAGGGACAGTCTGAACTTAATCCTGCCCTCTTTTTTCTATCAGTGCTGGTGCCGAGTCTTCTTCAACTTACCAAACTGGGAGGAAACCATTCCCCTTTGGTGTCTGGGCTATGAATGGTGGTGAATTGTATCTGCTCCTTGAAGGATCTGACAAGTGCATGAGCTGACCTCAGCAAGGGCAGGGGCAAAGGAAGGAGAGAAGAGGGACAGAACTGTGTCCAGTGGTGACAGCTCTTGCTAAACTCAGTCACACCCCAAGCATTGCTGACTTCCAGCATTTGTACCAGCAACCATTTGCTTAAAATGGGATGGAGAATATCTAGAAAAATACAGAAGTTTTGTTTCCCTTTTTTTCCCCCCTTTCTTCTGCTGGTTAATGTTGACTTTGAGGAGAAGACTCTGCAGGTGGACATGTGTTTCTGCACAGGAATGTGGTGAAACCATTTGAGGATGTTGATGCTGTGTTTTGGAGGGGTGAGCTCGGCGCGTGTTGGCTGAGCTGCCTGGTGGATGGGAGCAGTGGAGACAAACACCCCTGCTTGTTTTTATGTCCATAATAAAGTTACCACTGCAATTACTACTACATCAGATAGTGAGGCTTAACAGGTCCCTCACTGCACTTAACTCACGTGGTTGGTTTGTACTGAGCATGCTGAAGTGGAAAACAGCCCTTTCCTTAAAACAAAAAACACCCTTTGTTTTTAAAAACGAGCCATTGCACTTGGGACTCTAGTGGTAAATATTTAACAGGTGGAACTCCTTATTCCTTTCTCTTTTCCCCTGCATTTCTTAATTAGCAACGAGTCTTTCTAACTTGTTTTTCATTGGGCTATTAATCATCTGGGGCTCTCCTTGGGCACTCTCCGTAGTTTTTTGCTTGCTGCTGTTTTCCTTCAACTCGTGACTCCTCCTTGCTGTCCTTGAGAAGGAGCTGTGGGCTCCGAGCACTACTGTCTGTTTTTGGAGCCGAAACCTTACTTGTTTGGAGCTGAACATGTGTTCAGCGCGTCATGTTCCTCCGTGTGGGTGATTGAACTGTGCCCTTGTCTGCAAAAAGTGGAGTTATTCTTCATCAGGGGATGAGAAGGATGAATGTGTTTCTCAAGTGCTGGACCGTGACTTGCAATATGTAGACGTACTGCTGGGCTTTGCTACCAGCCAGCTGCATGACCTTCAGTCAGTTATTTAGGGCAAGACCTGCTGGTGTTAGGCAATGCTTGGAAGCAAACTGCAAGGCTCCCTGACTTGGGAGAGCAGCAAAAGGCTGCTGAAAGCCTGGAAGGCACAGAGCTGGAGGTGGAGGTAGGATCTTCAGAGCAGGCAGAGTGCTGATAGCCATAATGACCTGGTGGATTTTAAGGGCAATTTGGAATGAACTGGAAAAATGTCTTCCCAGGTTTTTCTCTGGGCACAAGAGTGTTTGACCTCCATCCACATTCCAAGCTGGGACAGCCTCATATATTGTCCTCACAGCCTGGAGTGGAAGGTGGTGAGCACATCACAGAATCATAAATATTAAGGTTGGAAGAGACCTCCAAGATACCTGCTCCAACCATCCCCCTACCACCAGTGTCACCCACTAAACCACGTCCCTAAGTACCACGTCCAACCTTTCCTTGAACACCCCCAGGGACGGTGACTCCACCACCTCGGTGGGCAACCCGTCCCAGTGCCTGACTGCTCTTTCTGAGCAGAAATGTCTCCTCATTTCTAGCCTGAACCTCCCCTGGCACAACTTGAGGCCATTCCCTGTAGTCCTATCTGCCATCTCATGAAGGCAGATGCTTAAAATGAGCGTTAATCATCAGTGTTGTTGGTTTATCAGTTGTCCCAACCCTCACAGCCTAACTAGAAAGGGATGGACATTTTTGTAAAAGCACAGAGCACGCGTCCGCCTGCCTGTTGGTCCCCCATAGCCTCGAGTCCTTCTGCCACCCAGCTGGCTTTGCAGGAAGGAGAGAGTAGAAGAAAATGGGAAAACAATGGTTATGTTCATTTGACAGTGAGAACCGTTAGGCTCAACTCCTGGGAGAAGTGGGCAAAGTGTGTTAAGTCTTGTAGTTCACAACCTAAATATGTTGGGAAGACACCGGATTTCAGCGAGTTACGGCATTATCAGTCCCAGTGGTGGCAGTTGTGACTCAGGTTAGCCTGGGTTCTGTTAAGACTGCATCTTACCTGCAGAGAAGGCAAATTTTTTTGTATTCCCTGGTAAGACAAAGTATTGATTAAAGGCAGGTGTCATACTCAAGGTGATGAAAATATGATCAAAGTGAGTGGAATTTTATTTAAAATAAGCATGAGTTTGTTCAACACTTTAAAGAGGGGAAAAATGATGTCTTTTGTTCATTTAATTATTCACTTCATTATTTCTTATTTTTTACATCTGGTGACGTTTCAGCTGCTTGAGGAGAGATAGGACTTTATTGACACAATTAGCAAAACAAATTATTATCACACCTTTTATTTAACCCTGTGCTATTTAATCTATTTGCTTGCACTTTCATTACTCATTTGCTTGGTTACGTTACCACAATGATATCACCTTTCCTGTGCTGCTAGAGCTAAAACAAAGCAAAAAAAAATAAAAATCTTTTGGCTCTGAGCAGCTCTCTGCTGTTTTTATTACAAATGAACTAGAAAGCAATGTTGGGCAGAGAGTTATTTGAGTTTCCTTTCACTGCTGGCTAGGCATTATTTCCGGGCCTGGCAATTTTGGCTGTGTTTGTGTGACAGTTTTCCTATCTTACAATAACAAACAAGAATCCCAGCAACTTTATTCCCAGCACAGTTAGTAATATCAGATTTTAAAAGGAAAATAAAATAAAAGAATTCCGATGGTTTTATACAGTCAAATGACTAGAATCTTTATGACTGATTCTTTGGTATTTCAAGCCACTTTGCTGAGAGGCTTGTATTTTATTTGGACGTGGAGGCAGGCAGTGTGCTGTAGCTGGTAGGAAGTGCAAATAAGGTTATTTTATTTGAGATCTGAGATGTCAGGGTTAGGATCCGGCTGATCCTAACATCGGGATATTCCCTCCACCTTGGCCCAGACTCTTAATGGTGTGATGCTACCAGCTGTGGGTGGACATTTCTCTTGGAAATTAGGAAGGCAGGTGGTCCACCATAGGGAGAGCCTTTGCTTTCTGTGTCCCTGTGGCTGCTGTCGTGTAATGGCTGTTCCCTTTCCTCTTTCCAGAGGTCCCAGCCCCGTGCTTTCCACCATTCTGGAATAACATCTGAAGGAGCACAGCAGCACAGTCCTTTCCATAGCTTCCAAGGATTTTTAGGATCATGGGATTTATGGACCCACAAAACCCTCTGAAGAACATCAGCTGCAGACGAAAGCATTGGGAAATTCCTACTGTCTTCTTGCCCTTTGTTTTTTCCTTGGTCACCGAATTTGGGAAGGAAGCATGTCTGTCCTGAGGATTATAGCAGAGCAGTTACTCGCCGCCCTTACTGGAATACGGTTTCTCAAGACGGAGCGATTATTGTGCAAGGCAGAAGGATATTTTTTCCCTTTCGCAGAGCTGTTCTGGTGCAGCAGTCATCATGTCCAGCAGGTACGTAGAGGTTTCTCTCATTTACCAGCCATTTGGGTTTCCTGATGTTTAGGAAGTGAATCATTTTGTTTCCTTACTAGCCTCCGCTAAAAGGTAAGACCTTTCCAACTGTTTGGCACCGTGCTCTGAGACGCCTTTTCCTCGTTAGGACGCAGACAGTATTTGCAAGTTTTTTTCAAATATTTGAATATTTGAGGTTCTTGTGGGACCCAGCCTGGTGCTGCACACTTAGGGCACGCAGGAGCTACCGGGTGTGACTGCGAGGGATTTGGGGAAAATGTTTGAAAGTTTTGACAGCTGAGGAAAGGGGTGGCTTTATTGGCTCATCATTATGGCTCATTATTCCTCTTCCTGGACCGCCCCCGGACGCTCAGCCAGTTACTTGGCATATTTGTAACTTGGAGCAGACACCAGCTGTGTGTGAACCTGCTTATCAAGCTTCGTCCCGTAATTTCAAAGGAGATGATATGGGTGTTTAATCCATTTTTTCTCATCTTAATGTAACAGTATTTCTGCTGAAGAATAGCATCATTTAGAGGATGATTTATCCTATAAAAAGGAGATGGCTTAAATTTCAAAATTAAAATGATTCCCATTCAATATAGACATAGATAACTCAGTAATTGCAGTGATAATTACAAAATGTACATTTTTATAATCACAGTGACTTAGATGTTTTTCTGAAGGTGATGAGCTTTTTTTTTTCTTTTTTTTCTTTTTTTTAAATCCTTAAACACCAGAAGTGGATCATTCTGTTGGCCTCTGGGGGTGTCAGCTTGCTGTGAAAATCCTAATTTTGACAATTGCATTGGCAGTTTTGGGAAGAATCTGCTCATGTGTGCTGATGCAAAGAATGCTTTTTTAAATAGATAGAGAATAGAGGGAAAAAGTTAGCTCTTTGAATCTAGCTTCTGGGTTTATTTATTTCTCCTATACAAAGAAGAGGTGCTAAAGGGAAAGTGCTGAAAATGCTGTACTGTACATTTTTTCTGCATTCCCCTCAGTGTGTGTGAGGCATTAGAAGTTTAATCTTAATGCTTTGTAAGCACAATTTTATATCAGATTAAAGGAAGGAAATGGAGCTGGGGGTAGAGTGTGTGCGAGGAAACAAAATTGGTTGACAAGCTCTTGAATTTGGTGAGACCTGTAGGCCAGACTGAGATGGCAGACAGAGATTGAGAATAAAAAGGTTCTTTGCCTTACCTAGCAGGAAAGTTGAGTGCTTACTGTGCCTCTCATAGAGACCAGAGTTTAACTGCAGGGAGGTAAAAGCAGCATCATAACAGTGAGCTGGGGAAGGTCACATGCATTGCTTGTGTTTTGTGCTCTGTGGAGGGCTCTGCATTGAGCTGGTGGCCTGCAGGGTTTGGGGCAGAGGCATCCCCATGTGCCAGGATGGTCTGTGTTTGGTTTGACCTGCTGAATTCCCATCACTCACTTGGCATGTTGCAATCTGTCTCAAATGGCTTAGAAAATATGCTGGAAAATAATCGCATTTCTTTTTCATAGTGACGTGTTTCTTCCATATGTCTGAAGGCAGCTTTCTCGGGTAGCTGAGAGAGAAGAAAGGGAATTAGGAAGTTTGTTTTCTGCAGCTGACTCCTCCAGTGACACCAAATCTGTGCCTCTGGTAAAGTCACCAAGAAATATATTCTTGTTCCATTCCACACGTGCAGGGTGATATCATTGTGTATGGGAGCATTTAGGTTTCCTCTCCTCCCCTAGTTTTAAGTCCTTCAGCACATAGAAGCAAATTACCAACCCCAATTAAACTCTGCTGAGGTTCAGAAGGCCTTGCAGAACCTCACTCTGCTCTCGCTGAGGCTCTGACCTGTACCTGGAGCTTGGCATGCCATGGATGCCACCGCCGAGCAGCCCCAGCTCTGGTGTCTGGGCTCAGGAGCTACTCCTCCATCCAGGCAAGGGCTTTGCTCAGAGCCTCCTCACCTTCTGCTCCAGCTTCAGAAACAACTGAAAACCCAAGGCTGGGCTCCTCCATTACTTGGATCTCAGCCATTCATTCAGGGCTGATAGTTTCCCTTCCTTAGCCTGAACTAACTTTAAAGGGTTGGCAGTGCCCGCTGCGTAAAAGTCCGGAAAGTTGTTTGGCCCATTTCTGTTGGTTATTTCCCGATCACAGAAATTCCTGGTGTTTCATTAACTAGCTCCTAAAAACTTCTAAGGCACCCAAGATAGAGAGATCACTGGAAGTGTGAGCTTTCTAACTACGATTTAAGCAAACACGGTCGATATCTGAGGTCCTTTCCTTTTTTACTTTTGCGGTGAGCTGTTTGATAGTGAAGTTGCAAACCAGTTCTCCACTTGTTACTGTAGGATGTGAAAAGATTCTTTGTCAGCAGTGTTCTGCAGCAGCATGAGCTTTATCTTTTGTACATAACGAGGAGCTCGGAGCCAAAAAAAGACCTAATTAGAGCCTGGAACACCTGCAGAAGACTTAGAGTGTATGTGGAAAATGTGTTTATTGGTCTCCTCCCAGCCCTGTTGCTCAGCCTTTCAGGAACAGCATCTCTATAATTTGATGTGAGGGAGTTCCCTGGGTTTCCTCTTTGTTGAAAGAGCAAAGTAAGCGTGATCACTGCTCTTATACTGGATTCTTTGTGCATCTGCAGTGCAAGACAGGGCGTAGGCTTTGATTCTGGAGTACCAGTGGTGCCCAAGTGTGCCCCATGAATCAGGGTGTTGGTTGCTCTGCTCCTGTGCTGCAGTCACCTTGGTGCTTCTGCAGATGCCTGTTTGGAGACCGGCCAAAAGCTGGCCACCACGCGTCATTTAGAGCAGCCCCAGTGTCACTTTGCACTGGATGAGTCCTCGCTGGCACTGGGCGTGGAGCAAAGCTGCAGTGGATGTGCCCCAAATCTTCCATTCTGCATTGCCTGTTGCAAACACAGTCCTGCCTGTCCTGTGGGAGCTGTGGGACTATGCACACCCGAGCCTGGCTGCGTGTGCAGGTGGCACAGGTAAGGGAGCCTGGCAGAGCTGGGATACAGCTGCTACTTGGTGCATTTCACTGGGCGTGCTGCTTACATTGCATTGTGTTGCTCTGCATCCATCCCATGCGTGTCTATGGACAGAAGCATGTTATTAATTAATAATAATAATAATTAAAAAAGCTTCAATTTATCTCATTATGAGGGTAGTGTATATGGGTGTGCAAGTTGGTGTGTCTCAAAAGCACATAGTTGATTTGGGGATTGCAACAGCAATATAAAAATTGTGGCTGTGCTAAGTCGGCTTTACCCGCGGTTACGTGAGAGTGAAAAGCAGCCCTGGCACATTGCAGAGATGCTCCTGCCATGACTAACCCCGCACTCTCACTGGAGAGGAATTTGTCAGTGCCCAGCACAGATGAACACTGAAATTGCAGGTTTGCAGAAGTCTTTCACAGCTGGCAGCAAATACAAGAATTGCAAGTATTTGTTGGTTAAAGGGAAAAAAAAAACCCTCAAAGCTATAAAACAAATTTGACAATGCAGATTTTTTAGTGTGGAGTCTTTCTTTATGGCTCTGTGAGCTGAGTGTATTGAAGCTCAGCAAAGGAAGAGGATTTAATCTACAAACTCTGTCTCTTGCTTGATGGTTTCCTGCTTCTAAAAATGTCTCCCGGTTCTGTGGAATTGGGGCTGAAACTATTTGCAGCTTTCAGTTTGTGGGTGACTACCTTACCACTTCAGCAAACTGGATTTTCAAGGGTGTGGGGGAGTAAATATGCTGTTAGAAGTTTCTTATCTCGGGTGCCAGAAGTCCATTTGTCATTATAAAAAATACAACTTAAATCCTTGAATTCACTCCTTGCTCCAGGACATCACTTGGGGAAAGCGGAGGTGCTGCTGATGCTGAAATTTCGCTTCAATCTTTCCTTCCCTGTCCTTGCTGGTGGATTTCGAGGAGAACAAGCTGGGGGGCGAGTGGTGCTTGTGGCCCCTTCACTCTGTTTTTTTTTTTTTTTTAAGGTCTGGAATAATCGTGCTAGCATGTGTTGAATGCTCCTCTGTTTATTACTTCAAGATGTTTCTTGGTGCTTTCCATTGACTAAAGCATCGCAGTGATTACTTTCAGGGTATAACTCGTCCTTACTGTGACCTTTGCTTTTGCTGTGAATGACTATTTGCAGTTGCTGATTTAGCATGCCCAGTAAGTACTGGCTGCCTATGCACACGCTCACTGTGCTGCTCCAGATTGTCCTTAGGAAGAAACAGTGAAATACCACCAGATGCAATATTGCTACAACCAGCAAGGCAAGGATGTCAGCTTGGCTACTGAATCCCTCATACTACATTGCAGGGCTCTGCGGAGGTGTCGACAGGCTGTTTTCGTGGGCTCCCATCTGCTGAGCAGTGTGATGTGGATTAATATTGAGGAACTCGTAGTGAAATTTGCCTCATGCCACTAAAATGTAAAACCTCCGAAGCTGGCTGGCATCCCGAGGCTGCGAGAGGCCCTGGGAGGGGGCCTTTCACTAAAGGTGTCAGGACTTGCAACACACCAACCCCCCCTGTATGTGAGCAGGAGGGGTTTGTAATTAAGTTTAAATCATCTCCAAAGCAGCCTGCTTGCTGATTTTGGGCTGCAGAAAAGTCCTGCAACCCAGAAAACACCTGCCATGAGGTCAGATTGCTGTGGAGGTGTCATGTTGTGAGGTGAGGCAGGTGAGGGCTTCTGGAAGGGTTTTGTGGAAGTTACAGCAGGGATGAGCTGCCTTCTGCTCTAGGAAGCAGCACCCATGTGGTGTTGGCATTTGGGGCCAAGTGGAAGCCAGGTCTATTGCAAAAACCTAACTGGAGTGCCCTGGCATGAGGTGCTGAATGGCAGGGGTGATGGCTGGATTGGCAGCGCTGGTGTTGCTCTTGGGCAGTGGCCAGTTCCAAGGAAGAGTCCTTCAACCTCTGCCATTTTACGTGGTTATCTGGGAGGATGTGAGCTGAGGGTCCCTAAAGGTTGGGAGAAGTCAGCTGGTTGGGCTTTGGGATACAAAGGGAGGC